CCTCATTCCTTCACGCCGAACGCAGTCGCTCAAAATCCAACATTCACTTGATCCGTCCAAACCAGATTCGACCCTCCCGCCACAGACTAAAACCGGTCGCCGTTGCCCATTACTCTGACTGTTTGATTCAGGTAAAATCTTTGTTCTGGTTTTGCCTATAAAGCTTAATTTAAAAAGATATTTTTTGTCTTCCTAAATTTCAGGTGTATTTTTAAAAATATATAATTGTGGGACCTACTTACATGAGTGTTGTTAATAACCAAAATTCAGTAGTATATGTGTTGAACTCTAACAAACATACTATATTTAAATAAACTAAAAACTAAATAAAATCTATAGATATGGTTAAAGTTAGAGGAGGAATAACTCGACGATCAAGTGAACAATTAAAGGCTGCTTGGATAGCATGACGTCGAAGAGAAACGTGCACAGTCAACTTAGACAATGAAGAAGAGGTATAAATGCAACAGTTTATATATGACCTGTTTGTTTTTTAAAAAATCATCCTTTATCTTTATATATACATATTGAATCATGGAGAACCAAGAACCCTGAGGTAAATGACTATGCTACGAGGCCCTCCCAATTGACTTGGCACCTTTGCCTTCCTTTCACTGTCAATTGGGCTATTGGGAGAAGAAATGATGGGTTGTATTCATATACCAGTTATTCTGAGGCAAAACCAAAGAAAAATCTCGAAAGAAAATGAAGGAACTAGGTAGGAAAGTTTTGGTAAAGGCAGAGGAAGAAGCTGTCCAAGAAAAGATAAGAGTGGACACATTCCAGCTCGCTTTTTGTGGGGAAGAGGATTAAGTTGGCCCTTGCGAACAGCTTGAAAGACCTCGAAAGAGACTCCAATGTTGAAGGAGACCAGCAAAAAGAGGGGTGGGGGAGACTTCTAAGGTAAAACAAAACTGACTAAACTTGACCCTAAAAGAAATTTAGGTTGTAAGGAACCTACCAAGAATGTAAGAACTCAATGTATGTGTGTTGAATAGTAACATTTAAAAATTATATTCACTAAGCTAATTCTACTTTATGTTTCAGGGAAAAGGAAAGTATCTCAAGATAGTTGAGGACGAGCGCTTTGTTAGTGAGGTAATTATTGGGATATACATGTTCTAGCTTTATTTTTACGATAGTCAATAAATCTATTGACTTTCGTATTTTGTTCATGAATTGATATATACATCTGTTGACTTTAATGTTTTGTTAATTGTTGAATTATTAGTACATACATATATAGACGTTTTAATTATTGGGATATACATATACTAGTTTTATATTTATGATATTTTAGTTGTACAACAGTAAACAGATGTATTCAGTTATTACTTTTTGGTTGTTTCTTGAATTGATATATACATCTATTAACTTTCATGTTTTTGTTAATTGTTGAATTATTAGTATATACATATATAGACGTTTTAATTTTGATGATTGAGTTGCATGGTGATATATATGTGAATAGTATTCTAATTTTGGTTTTTATCAATTGGTATATACATTTACTGACCTTATGATTTTGATAATTCTTCTAATATAAGATGATACAAAATCTAATGAAGATAATCAAATTGTGAGATGGGGACTGTGGAACATTGTTAATACGTGTAAATTAACTTAATTTCCTAATAAAATAATTAAAATAATTAGGATAAAATCCCTTGAAGGTAGGGAACATAATTTGAATTGAACACCAAGTTTGTTGGGTTAGTACTTGTAAATCCTAAAAAACATAGACAAGGCGGTGAAAAAAACTAAAAAATGTAAAATTCTAAATATATCTTTGGGTCATTTTTGTAAAATAATAAACAAATGGATATTTTCTTAAGTGAGTGGCCAAATTTAGCCACTTACTTAAATTTTCTTATAACTTATACGTCCATTAAATAATCCAAATATAATTTGTTATCCACGTATGAATTAATTATTAAATTAATTCCACGTCTCATCTTGCACCAACTATGAGTGTGCCACCTGACCCACTCGACCTTGACCCTCCTAGATATCGTGGATCTAAAACAACCATACCATATCTTATGAGAGAGTCACCAAGTGGGGGAGCGGGAGATCAAACAACATGTGGTGTTAGGAGGGAGGGAGGATCGACATAATAACGATCTTTTAGGAAGAAAAATAGAGAGGAAAGAAAAGGCGAGAAGGAGAAGGAAAGAGAGAGAAAACCACGCTTTATTTGTCTAAATGGAAGTCGGTGGTCAATGTAATCTACAAAGAAATGGATAGCTACAAGTTTTTGCTAGAAAATAAGAGAGAGGAAGGAGAAGGGAAGAAACAGGAAAGGGAAAGGGAAAATAAAAACAAAAACAAAAACAGAAGACAAAAAGAATAGAAAATTAATTAAAAAATTACGTATGCTGTTAGTAGAGTAACAAATGGATGATGTGGTATTTTCTAAGATGAATGAAGTATTACATGTAATTTTAAATTTTTTTAGACAATTTAATTTTAAATTGTTAAATAAGCATTTAAATTAAATCCAAAAATATTGTGGGTTGTTGCGTTCGATTTCTGCTCGTAGCTTTTGCGTTACATCATCTCCTCCGCAGCGCTTTGTCTTCACTGGTCGTCGCCCGCACGCCACTTCCAACATCATCCCCTGAACGCATAAACGTTCGACATCGTTGTTGATTTTCTCGTCGTTGTCATATACCTCAAAGTCCCTACGAGCTGGGTCGTATTTGAATCCAACCAATGTTCGTACACTTTTGCGAGCCCAATTTCCCGTTCAATTAGCTATTTAGTAACTCACCTTCATGCCTCTGTGAATCACCACCTTCTCGAATCTGCCATGGTCAAGCGGTTCAAAAGAGATGATGTTTTTCTTTAGATAGAAAATGAGATGTCACGAAGCCCCACAAAACAAAGAAAACACCTAATATTTAGGGATTTAATTTAACTATTTATTTGACTTGATAGGGTATCAAACTCACAACTTCTTCACTAAAAGTATATGTCAATTACCGCTAGCTCGCTTTGGCCATTTAAAATTACATGTAATCTCTCATTCATCTTTAGAAAATGGCACATCATCAATAATATTTTAACCTAAATTCTTCCCTCCATACATGTGATGCACTATTCTTATAAAAAAAAATTGCACCGCAATTAACCATTTATTCTCTTTCTAATAAATTTTTGTCATTGACATTATTAAATAATAATTGTAAAAGATTAATTAACAAAGTTGATAATTTGGCACGAGATACTATAATGAAGTAAATAAAATATGGGCAGTGACCGAGATAAGGCATATTTTAAATCATCTTTATTTGCCAACCTCAATCTGAACATAGTTTAACAAGTTAAAATATCCATCTCTAATTAAATAGTATGTGAGTTCAAATTTCGACCGCACATGTATGTTGTACTAAAAAAATCATATTTATTTAACCAATTATGATATATAAAAAGGTCCAAATTGCAAAATTAAAATTTTCATTGAATTTTCTTGGAGGGGAAATGAGACAGAGAAGCCGAACAAACTAATAGTAATAGGCATAGCAGGTGACTGTACAAACAAAATATGGAGCTACAGTCTTTTTGTAGCAACAGAACAGCATTACATTTTTTTTTATCCCATATTATTTACCTCTACAACCTTTTTCTTTTTCTTTTCTTTGAATACTTGCTTTTACATTTCAAAAATATACAATACAGCCCCCACTCAAGGGAAACCAAAAAGAGTTTCCTTATTCACACTTGAGAAGAATGAGCCATATCAATCAAGGTGTAGAATTTACAGAAATCTCTTGCAGCAGCGATGAGCTTGGCTGGTCTGAATGTGGGGGCAGGGCAAGCCGCTGCAGTGGCTTCAGAGCAATGGCTAATTGAGCAAACGAGGGGCGCAAGTTCGGGTCGCTGCCAATAAGCATGGAAAATCATTCAACAGCATGACCACAAGGGATAGTCCAACAAGTGAAAAGAAAAATACAACTCACGTTTGCCAGCATTCCCAAATTATCCTCCCAACCACGGGATCCACTTCCTTTGGTATTTCGAGTCGTCGATTCTGGAAACCTACTGCACCAACAACTTGCATAGGATTCATCCCGCTCCAAGGCAGTCTCAAAGTAGCAAGTTCCCATAGAATGATTCCAAAGCTATAAACATCGCACCTGCACATCTCAGAAGAACAAGCTGCTATTCATATCCAGTGATAATTCCTAATATTTCAGCACATTGCAAGAAGATAAAATATACACATTAAAAATCATGCTCGAATTCCATCTGTTCCTAGCATCTACTAGATGGAGTTCTTAGGCTGGGGGATTTTGTACTTAATCTTCTTTTATCAATGTTGTTCACATTAAAATGGAGTCGAACTCGACTCCAGGGCTGAAAAACTTGCTCTCAAGGTAAGATCTTTATCTTCTCACTTGTTGAAGAATGAATTGTCTCGTGAGCTTCATATGTCTTTGACTTGTCTATAGAGAGTCTTCAGTTTGTTGCAGAGTCTTTTTTGAATTCTCTTACTCTTGAACCCCTTGAAATGAAAGAGTGACTCCTCTATTCATAAAGTTTTCTATAGGCTTCAATGACGTTGGGCTTAATTGACTTTGAACTCAACCCCTTTGATTTGGGTTTTGTTTGGGTCATATGATCAATTCTCTTGAGTGGGTTCAAACTTATTTAGATTCCGACGTAAGCCAATTATTAATCTACTCAAATGAACTTACGCCAACTTTGGTTTTTGGCCAAATTACTATTTAATGGCCTTCAAGCTTATATGGTTCTGGGCCAATTATCATATAACTCTATTTGACCAAGCTAATCTTGTGCTATCAAATGATCACGACACGTGGCATTATGTTTTTTTGTCTTTTAACTTTAAGTTAGAGACCATGTCAATTTTTAATTGCAAATTCAATAATATACAATTTTGTCATTAACTTAATAATAATGACATGACAATTTGCGATTGGCCAAAATTTATACTTATACGAATGCATTATAGTGATCTTATGCTAACTACTAATATCGATTCTTTCATTTTGGCTCCAAAGGTTGTGTCGCGCTCGCACTTTTCACTCTCGATGACATTTTAGAGAATAGCTCTCGATTTTCAACTAACCATTGACCTACAGTGCCAGAAAAAGGATGGCCCGGCCAACATAAATGGGATATGATACGATTTGATGCCATGATGATCTGATGGTAAGATAGGATAGCATAGATACCAAGCTCAAACATGAATTGAAAATGAACTTAAGAAATACCATCATAATTCCAACTTACTTTTCATTTGAAGGCTCATTCCGGAGAACCTCTGGTGCCATCCACTCAGGCTAACACATGCAAAGCAAATGAGAGATGAATGATGTAACTCAGTTATGTCCTGCACTTTACTGGAAATCTGAAGAAAACAATTAAACCAAAAAAATCAAGAATCTCAGCCTCTCACCGTTCCTCCAGTTGATTTCGATGACAAAAATGTGTTGTGCTTCAGGCGTGACAACCCAAAATCACACACCTACACAATGAAGAAATCATACCTCAGGCAATTGATTCACAAGGCTGTTGCAAATTCTAAG